AAGAAGGAGAGAAGGAAGGAAGGAAAGGAAAGAAGGAAGGAAAGAAGGAGAGAAGGAAGGAAGGAAAGGAGGGAAGGAAAGAAGGAAGGAAAGAAGGAAGGAAGGAAAGGAGGGAAGGAAAGAAGGAAGGAAAGAAGGAAGGAAGGAAAGGAGGGAAGGAAAGAAGGAAGGAAGGAAGGAACGTTCGTTCGTGTTTATTTTCCCGCCCTCTCAGGGAAAATGTTTATTATTATTTGTTGTTGTTTATTTATTTAGGCCCTAAATGTTTGCCCCCCCCCCTCCTGTCTGTTTGATGATCTACCAGTAAAATCAGAAGCTAGCTTCAGCCCATCATGCAGTTATTGATTGATTGATTGATGGATTGATGTTTCGTGGACCTGTCAGGAGAACCAGTACCTTTGCAGTGGGCCTTCAGCTGGTCCTTCCAGCCACACTCCACCAGTTTGGCTCTGAGCAGCTCCTTCAACCTGTGGACCAGAAACCAGGATGAGTTCTTGTTCCTCAGACGGACCTGAGCCCGGCAGAGGACACCCACCTCTCCCGCTCCCCCATCTCGATCAGCTTCTGGTTGATGGCGGCTCTCAGCTGGTAGTCTTTACTCATGGTCTGTTCGGAACCGAACCGGGACGGGCTGGGGTTAAAGACAGGGTGAAGGAAGTCCAAACAGATGGGTTCAGGGAGCTAATAATCTTACCCCACCTTTGTTTGGAGGGATCAGCGGAGTAACATCTAATCTGTACCGTCTCAAAACATAATGGTTCCGCCCAGGAACGATTTACAAGAAATAACTTCCGGTTTTCTAAAACAAAACTATTTCTATATTTTACTAATGTAATAAACATACCAATAAATCTGCTTTTATTTAAAAACATATTAAAATAAACCTGTTAAAAGAGATAAACACCACCTCCCATGATGCTCCGCGCGGTCCGCAGTGAAATGTGTCCGGGTGGGATTTAAACAGGAAACGTGTTTTCCCGCTGCGTCTCCCTGTTGTTGTCTGCAGCTGCAGCTCTGATGAACTCCTGAATAAAATAATTAAAGTTTAAAGTCATGGCTGCTTCGAACTACTCCTTAAAGGTCAACAGAGACCTTCTGGACCCGAACTTTGAGAGCTACAGGTTGTCTCTGGACCCCATCCCGACCTACAGCGTTGAGCTGGATGCTGGTGAGACCGAGCTAACTGCTAACTGGACTGGTTCTGCTAACTGGACTGGTTCTGCTAACTGGACTGGTTCTGCTCTCTGAAAACTCTTTATGAATGAAAAACAGTCATTCAACGGTTTTTACGTGTTTAATGAATAAATTTAGTTTAATGAGTCATTTGTGTTCAGTTCAGACTGGACCAGTTTGGGTCTTATAGCTTTATAGACCCTGACAGAACTTTAAATCTGGACCTGGTCTGGGTCTGGTCTGGGTCTGGTCTGGACCTGCTGGTTGTTACTGGTAATAATAATGTAGACTCTTTACTTTTAGAGGCATCACCAGTTAATTTGAAGCTCTGTGCTGTTTTCATTTGTTTGTATAAAGTTTTATTTTGTTTATTTTTTATTTTATTTTAATTTTATTTTTTTATTGACGGGTCCAACAAACAAAATACAACATAACAATAAAAACAAACAACAACACAAATCTCAACACTTACAACATAATAAAATAAAAGAAACAAATTACAATAAAAAAACCATCGTAAATTTCATAAAAAACATTAACGTAAACCTCTACAACATGAATCAATTGACAACCTCTCTCATAACAACATAATATACATTTATTCATCAAAACCACGACCTGACAACCAATTAAACAATAAACACCATCTCTTCCTTTATTTTATTTGTTTTATTATATTATTATTATTATATTTGTTTCTGTCTGCAGAGGTGGAGGAGCTGAAGCTGAAGGACTCTCAGTACACCCTGGAACACATGCGTGCTTTTGGCATGTTCAACTACCTGCACCTGGACCCGTGGTACCACGACACAGTTTTATTTGTGGACTGCAGAGGACGGGTTCTGAGCCTGACCGTGACTCTGGTGAGTTTTTATTTCTCCTTCTGGGAGCGGGCTCGTCCTGATCCACAGGAGTCTGCAGAGCGTTGGGACGACAAAGGTTTGTGTGTCAGTAACTGTCTCTATGTGTTGTTGTTGTTTCTGCTCCACTCAGCACCAGCAGGTGGCGCTGTTGGACAACATTCAGCTCTGAAAAGATTTGATGTTGTACAAAATGTAAATAAAAAATAATAATTAAATCACATGTTTAGTTTTYCTGTTGCTTCTGGAACAACGTTTTACAGATTAATTTAATGTCACCAGTTTCTTCTGTTAAATCAGAATAAGATAATATTTTATTATCATATTATTTATACGTCATCAGCTGCTTCAGTCAAACAACTCTGAGGTGGAAAATTATAAAAAAAATTAAATAGAGAAAATCAGAAAACGAAGAGAAAACATCAGTAGGGGACAAATTATTTTAATTTTCCTAAAAATGTTGCATTTTGATGTTTCAATCCACTGCCAATAAACCGTGAATTATTTTTTGTTTTATTCACATTTTACACAAAGGTTCAAGCTTGTCGGAGCTGGGCTGTGAATAATCAGATTATTGTAACTTGTTGTTCTGAGCTCAGTGCTCTGAAGATGTTCTGTTGTGTGACTCACCTCAGTAAATAAAGCTTTGTATGTTTGAATAATGACAGCAGTGATTATGTGATGATTCTGGGTTCTGATCCAGTTTGTTACTGAAAATCATCCTGACGACCTTTTTCAGCTCTTTTATGTCTGATTGTCTGTGATTATACATAATGTTTCTTTTGTGTGTAAAACTTGACTAAATTACATCTGGCTTTAAATCATGACTCAGCATTTTAATATGTGCCTGATTACACGTGATAATTAGGATGTAATTACACTGATCACATGATACATTTTTAAATTTATTTGACCTTTTATTTAAGCAGCGTCCCGCTGAGATCACAGATCTGTTTTTCAAGGGAGGCCTGAGGCCAACTTACTGAACATATAATAATAATAATAATAACTTTATTCGTATAGCACATTTCTAAACAAACGTTACAAAGCTCTTTACATTGAAAAACAGTTTAAACATCAAAGACAACATGAAACAAAATATATAAACCTTTAGTTTTATGTCACTTCCTGTGRTGCAGAGTTATAAATGTGACTTTGGTCCAGAGCAGAGGTGAGCTGACGGTTTGCTCCTGATGTCTGACTCCAGGACACGGCTCTGGGGAAACCGACAGAGGTTTACCACCTTCCTGCAGCAGAGTCCGGTCCACAGGAGGACCGCCTCTGCGCCTCGCTCAGCCTCACCTCGGCCACCTGGGCGGCGCTCTCTGACGGCGGCGGCCGACTGATCCTCCTCCGCACCGGGAAGAGAGGAGAGGGCGCTCACATGAAGTGGGACGTGAGTACAGGAGCTGCTGTGAGACGACTTCCTGTCATCCTGCACAAACACCAACGTTAAATAAATTAAACTTAAACTTAATTAAAGAAATTATAAATACGTCCAGTTTCTGTGCTGGGTCGTTTAAAGAGTGTTTAACTGAAAAAACACTGAACGTTTTTACACCCACAACACTAATGAACCTCTAAATGTTTCTAATTTTATTTCTTTCACCAAACAGAAAAGAAGCACAGCAGCTTCTTTTAACAAGTTTCAGCTTCAAAATATCTGCAGGTTGGTTTAATTTATCAGCTAAAATGTTAGAAAATCTTCAGAAATATCAGAGTTCTGGTTCCAGAGAGAGAAACTTAAAGCTATTCACAACCAGTTCAGTGTTTTAAAATCCTGTCTAACTTTTAATGATCAGTCCTGATGTTTGGTTTGGTTCGGCTGCAAACAGCTGAAGTTTCGTTAGCTCAAACCTTCACTTGACTAAAAGTCAGACCCAGATCAGAGAAACTAGTTTCAGTTGAAACACAACGTGAAGCTGAACCAGTTCACTGAAGAATAAAAATGAGCTACACTGTAGCTAAAAGCTGAGAACAACTCCAGCTAAAACTAGGGAAAGGCTAGTTAGAAGCTAAAAGCTAATGTACCAAAAGTGAGCCAACAGTATCAGAAGATTTGTTACAAGCTAAAAGTATAACAAAGCTAGTTAAAGCTAAATGTATCAAAAAGCTAATTCAAAGTTAAAATTAGTAAAAAGCTAAAAGTAAGAAAATGTTGGTGAAAGCTAAGTTAAAAGCTAGTTAAAGCTAAAGTTAAAAGTAGTTTATTTTTAGCTTTAACTAAGTAGTTAGAAGCAAAAATTTTAAAAAGGCTAAAAAGCGATGAACTAAAAGCAGCGAAGGTTAGATAAAAGTATCACAATGCTTCTTGAAGCTAGAAGTAACAAAAAGTTAGCTAAAGAATAAAAACTGGTGAAAAGCTGAAAGTATCAGAAGCTAGCTGAAGCTATTAGCAGCTGAATGTTAGCAGCAGGTGTTAAACAGATTTATGTGTCTGTATTTTTAAATAAAGTGAAGTCTGTGGATCCTTCTGAAAAGTCTCGGCTCGTATCTCCTGAACGAGCCGAAGCTTTGGACTGCAGAAACAGTTTGGTTTGAGAAGCCTGAGTGCTGACTCAGCGTTCTGACAGGAAGTCTCGTCCCCGCAGCCGTTGTTCCTGGAGGATGTCGGCGAGCCCTTCACCGTCCTCCACAGCGTCTCGCACGTCCACGCCGGAGTCCACGCCGTGGAGGTCCTGCTGCTCCGCGTCCAGAAGGACCCCCAGGAGAGCACRGGGAGCGGGTACTCCGTGACCCTGGAGTGGATCACCGTGTCCAACGCCTCAGGAGCCGGTGAGAGGACCCCAAACGGGTTTTAATCAAGCTCCAGCTGCGCTCCTCATCTCTGATCAGATCAATAACTGAGAGGAGGGGGGGCGGGGGGCGGGTTCTCATTAACGTCCTGACATTTACTGAGAACTCAGACCAGGAGCCCCCCGGAGCCGACAGACCCTTCATTTAGCCTGGAATTAAAGACACAACTCTGATTGCATCTGTGAGGGTTCATCAGGTCTGTGTGTGTGTGTGTGTGTGTGT